TTTTTCCTCACCACACCCCCCCCCGCGCCCCGCCAGAAGCCGCTGTGATATAGGAGGTGGCATTTTCCAGGTGAGATGTAAAAGAGGGATCCTGATCTCTCGTGGCCATTATAGATCCCATGGGCCTCAGTGCAGGATTGTTAACACCATTGTCCTGTCCAGATTCCCAACCGGGCAATGGCATTCTGTCTCCTCCAAATTCCCTTTGTGGTATCAATTGGATACCGTGTTCTTCCTTCCATCTTGACCTTACCCATTGCTTTCGTGTTGTTCGGTGCTGTTAAATGACAGCCATTCCAGGGGTGGGGGATACGATTCCCTTGCAAAGACAGTCCCAGATGCTCTTTTGAATGCCCATGCTCAAACCATCGCACCAGGCCTGCTGCTAAAGTATAGCTGCCTACTCATTCATGCAGCACCCTCCAAATTGATCTAAGATAATTTCATAAGCCTTAAATAAACCTTCCAGAAACCATAGGGGAAAATGCAAATGACAGATTAAAAACTAGACTCAATCCTTTTGCAACTCAGTTGTTCCCCCCCCCCCCATCGTCCGCTCCCCCTCTCCTATGTCCAGTCTGATTACGGTAGCCAGCTATACAGGTGTGTCTCATCTTACGCTGGGGTTACGGTCAGCGGGTAAAGCAAAAATCGCGTATAGTCAAAATGACATTGAGTTCAATGGCGGGCGGAATCGCCCGCACTACAGGTACAGTATTAAAATTGTTATTTTTCTCTTTGTTGTTTGTTTGTTTTTGCCGACCGCGTAAAGCTGAAATCGCGCATGTTAAATGCGCCTAAGATGCGGCAGACCTGTAATATGTCGGCATGTTTATCCATGTGTCACCTGGGGCTCTGGATTTGTTGCCAGGGGGTGAGAGTATCTCCATGTGATGAAAATCAGAAACTGCATGCCGGATTGAACCATCGAAAGAGTTTGAAATCTTGTTCCTTCCTCGGCTAGGTAAATCCCGGTGAGAAGACGCTTGAAGAAAGACGATCCAGTTTAGATGCAGAAATCGATTCCTTGACCAGCATCCTGGCTGACTTGGAAAGCAGCTCCCCATACAAGCCCCGGACTCAACAGGTTAGTGTTTGAGCCCCTTTTTATGCCTGTCGAACTGTGTAAACTTTGAGTGAGAATTCGGGACTTTTGGAGTCAACTTGCAAACCAGTGTGTATTCACTGGGAGTACCCAGGCCAGTTTGTGTCTTTATAGCATCCAGATGTACCTGCCAAAGGGACAACAGGAGCAGTGGCTCTGGAAGGGGGACCTCTTCAGGCCCTACAGTGCAACTGAGCAGGCGTGTTTATGTGTCTGTGTGGAGCTGGCCAGAGGTGCCACCATAAAAATGGCATCCTGCGTCCCACGACTTTCTTTCAACAATAGCCGCTGAATTAAAAACCTGCTCCAAAGCACGTTTTATCCGTCGCTCCTGGCAGCCTGACCCTGCTGTCTGAATATCAAGCTGTGTTCTTTTCGCTTTGTTGTCTAATCAACGGCAAATCTACGATTCATAGCACAGCTGTCAGTGTGGTTGATAAAGCAGTAATACAGAATGGAACCTTGCGTCCTCCTCCATCTCTAGATCTGGGCTGCAGGGCTGATTTGTGTCCCTATGATTCTGGGGACACCTAGGAAGCAGATCTGTGCATGTTGCACGATTTTTTTAGCACCTGAAAAATGACACAGTAATGGCATTTCAAGGGGATTGTTGATGTGGCATCCAAAGACATCCCAAACTCAATAGTCATCCATCCAGTTGGACATCTCTTTTACTCTCTCTACTTACCGTCACCATCATGTATTATGTATAGATGTGTTTCTACACATGTTTATACAATATATGTGTATATGGAGATATACGTATCTCCTAGAACTAGAAGGGACCCTGAAAGATCATCGAGTCCAGCCCCCTGCCTTCACTAGCAGGACCAAGTACTGATTTTGCCCCAGATCCCTAAGTGGCCCCCTCAAAGATTGAACTCACAACCGTGGGTTTAGCAGGCCAGTGCTCAAACCACTGAGCTATCCCTCCCCCCATGTTTAAGTGACGGTGACTCTGATTAACCCCACAAAAGTAAGAAGAATCAGCATTAGCTGATGCAGATGGTTGCGCTGTGCGAGGTATTGGTCTGTATTCTGTTGCAATCGTTTCAGGGTAGGGGCTCTGCCTCCTTACCCATTGCCATTAACGACCTGGTAGAGTTAGGACTAGCCTTACCGCGGCGTATTGAGTAGACACTGCGCACGCCCAGCTAACACCGGTGCAGATAGAAGCATAGCGGTGAGGCCCAGCTTACGTGAGTGGATTGCCCATGCCTGAACGCCGGGGCATGTAACGTCCACGGCTCCCGACACACCCAAGAAGTGCCTCCCATGTCTACACTACTGTGTATAGCAGTTTAGTGTCCTGCTGCTCTCCCCCTCCCCCCGCCATAGCCTTTGCCCACTTCCTACCCCTGCCAGAGCCTTTCACTGCCACATGGCACCCCATGCGCCGCCACCAGTGTAGACAGGGTCTTTCAGAGCTAAAGTCATTCTACCATACTGGTGGAAGTTACAAACGTGCTCAGTGCTGACCTAACTTTGCTCCCACTGGAGTCAACGAGAACGTTAACACTAATACTAATGTACGGGGAACGGAGTGAGACCAAGTTAAGTGCTCTTTAAAATCCCGCCCTTAGGGTCTGTTTGCAGAATTATGGGTGTCCTGGCTTTTTTGCTTGGTTTAGATCCTGAGACAACCTCATGAGACACGCGTCTCATTTTCATTGTAGCTGCATGGAGACAGCGCTCATACGTGTTTACTGCCCATCCTCTAGTTCAGGGGTTTTCAAACGGGGGGCCACGAGCTGTCAGCCTCCACCCCAAACCCCACTTTGCTGCCAGCATTGATAATGGTGTTAAATATATTATAAAGTGTATTTAATTTATAAGGGGGGGTTGCATTCAGAGGCTTGCTATGTGAAAGGGGTCACCAGTATGAAAGTTTGAGAACCGCTGCTTTAGTTCCTTGCAAACAATCTAATTCAGGGTACTCTACCTAAACTGTGGACATCATGATGTAATCAGGGTTTTGGTCCTTTTTCTAATGTCAAGAGTTTCTTAAGATGAGTGATGGAAAGTTACAACGCTGCCTTTTGTAACTGGAGTTGTGTTCATGCTCTAATATTCTGTATCAAATAGTTTGTATTTCTTTTGTTTTTTATTAGGGTTTTTTGGGGGGGAGGGTTTGGGAAACACTTTCTGGGGTTGAAACAATGTAAGAGGTTTACTCTTGTCCCAATATATCCTTCCTCTGGACTCTGAAATAGTGTGAAAAGACTATGATCTTGCATTATTTTGTTCCCATATTTTAAATAGGTCCTGGTGGTAGAAATCCCAAATTCAGATGCCACCCTATACAGATTTATTTGGGGTTCTGTAGCATTCGAATATACAGCCCTAGTTGTAATGGAGCCATGTAACTTATTCCAGTTTATAAAGTCGGCAGCCCTGAGATCTTGTATCTCATTGGTAGTGTGAATAAACTCGCATTTTTCATGTGCAACTAGTGCACAATTTTCTGCCTGTGATTACGGTGAGTGGCTCTGTAGATTTATCTCTTGGAGTGTGTCTTCACTGCACCGTTAACCCGGGCTTTTACTGGCCTGGCGGTGGTGAGTTGGTGCGTGAGCTCCACTTTAACGCGAGCTGGAGCCTGCCCACTTTTGTGGCAAGGACGTATGCAAAATCACTCAAGTGCTGATAGTCCTCCAGTGGCTTCCCACAATTCCCCCAAAGGACAGATAAGTTCTTTTTGCAATTGACACAAATGATTGGGAAGGAATCCTGGAGTGTATCAGCACAAGGAAGCACGGGACATGCCCTCAGACACACACAGGTGAGTGCAGAAACAATGAGGACACACTACCCCAGGTAGAGCTCTTCTGGGGGGATGCTCGCCCAGAGGGTAGGCTCACCTGGGTTTTTAGACCTGGGTGCCAATCACCTAGACTAACTGTGCAGTGAAAACGGGCCCCTCAAGTCTAGGAATGCTGGGGTGATTTTGCGTAGTGTGTTTGCTACTACAGCTAGGCACAAACTGTGTGGGTTAGAAGCAGCGTTTCAGCTTTGATACGGAGTGACCTTTCTGTTGTTCATTTTACGTTACACTTTTCAGTATTTATTAATGTAATTGTGTCCTGTGAAAAATACAATTACGCCAACTATGAACCACAGCTGCAAGAAAAAGAAAATGCTGGAGTTGAATGTGTCATCTGCTGTAATCAAAAGGTACATGAGTAAATCCTCCAAGGGCGGAAACATAATGCAAGCCTTTGATGTTTGCCTTTATTTGATCTGCAGTAAGGATAAAAAAAACTAGTGACTCACTTGATAGCCTTTAGTAGGATAATAGCCCGGGCTGCTAATTGTGAGGCCGCTCATCAGTAAAGCAACGTAGTTACTGGCTCAAGCCTTCACTTACCATCTCAAATGTGCCAGGATAATGGAAGTAGCTAGGAAAAGGGAATTAGGGGTGTCTACATGGGTCCAGTTATACTGGTATAATTAAACCACTATAGTTGGACTATATAAGGGAGTGGGGGGGACCCATTCAGGTATAAGAGTGGTTTTTTTTTTTCATCTTAGTTTAAACCGCTTCCAAAGAAGCCTAACCTAAACTGGAAAAAGGCCCTTTTCTACTGGAATAAGAGCATCCACAATGGAGGTTATACTGGTATAACAATAATAGTTTAAATTCACACCCTACCTTATACCGGCATGACTTCCTGTGTAGACAAGCCCTCAGTCTCCTGTGCAAGTTTCTGATTTCAGAGGGACATTGTGAGTAATGGCGGCAGAATCTGGCCCTAACTATGTAACAAAGGTTCATCTCCTGTTGCATGGAATTCCCGTTCAAAAAGCACCCGTGGGAGACACCCTTACATGCAAATCTGTGAGGTGTTTGACTTGGTATCGCACAACATTTTGATTAAAACACCTAGAACGATATAAAATTAACATGCACACATTAAAGGCTTTAAAAATTGGCTAACAGATAGGTCTTGAAATATAATTGTAAAATGGAAATCAATGCCAAGTAGGTGTGTTTCCAGTGGGGTCCTGCAGGGGCCAGTTCTTTGCACTACGGTATTTAACATTTGTATCAATAACCTGGAAGAAAACAAAGTTAGCAGAGGACACTAAAATTGGTGGAGTGGTAAATAATGAAGAGGACAAGCCGCTGATTTAGAGCGATCTGGATTGCTTGGTAAACTGGGTGCAAGAGTAGATTAATAGATTTCAAGCCCAGAAGGGACCAGTATGACCTCCAGTATAACACAGGCCGCACTTTTCACCCAAAGTAATTCCTAGAGCGTAACTTTTAGAAAAATTCCAATCTTGATTTAAAAATTACCAGTGATGGAGAGTTCACCAGGACCCTTTGTGAATTGTTTTAATGGTTAATTACTCTTGCTGTCAAAAATTTGCATCTTATTTCCAGTCTGAATTTGTGTAGCTTCAACTTATACCCATGATACCTTTCTCTGCTAGATTGAAGAGCTCATTGTTGAATATTTCCCCCATAAATACCTATAGATTGCAATCAAGTCAACCCTAACCCTTCCCTTAGTTAAGCTAAATAGATTGAACTCTTTGAGTCTATCGCTATAAGACATGCTTTCTAATCCTTAGTCATTCTTGTTGCTCTTCTCTGAATCCTCTCAGATATAGCAACCTCCCTCTTGAATTGTGTGTTCCAGAACTGGACACAGGATTCCAGCAGCAGTCACACCAGTTCAAATAGAGAAATTAAACAACCTCTTTACTCCTACTTGAGTTTCCCCTGTTTATTTCTCCCATTAGCTCTTTTGGCCTCAGCATCACATTGGGAGCTCACATTCGGCTTATCCACTGCTGCCCCCAAATCTTTGTCAGAGTCACTGCTTCCCAGGATAGAATGTATGGCTAGGACATCCTGTACATATAGCTACACCCTTTGTTCCTAGATGTATACATTTACATGTAGCCTATTAAAATGCATATCGTTTGTTTGCACCCAGTTTACTAAGTGATCCAGATTGCACTGTATCATTGAT